TTCTTGCCAGTCACAGAGGACACGACGGCTGACCCGACATATGCATTAGTGATGACTCAGGACGATTATGTCATGGCCGATCATGTTTCTCAGATGTCCAAATTATACCGAGGCCTTCTCCAGGACACTCGTAATAAATCGCTTGGACCAGACCGTAACTCTTGGATCACTGGCTACATGGATTGCACATCCGAGACCTCCTGGCGCGAGAGACACGCACGACTGTGTGCCGCCATTTACGCCGGCCTTTACCTGATCGACCCTGACCTTATGAAGAACGGTAAAGGCGATGCCCGGCACCTCCGATTGGCGGAAGAAATGGCTCTCAACCCGGAGGCCCAGCAGTGGATGGACAACCACCCGATGACGACCGCTGAGTCCGAGGACGATGACACGGTCTTGCAACGGGAAACCGTAGCCGAAGAGACATCGTCCAAGTACGAAGTTTTGACACCACAGCGGGCATGCTACTTCTCCGGGGTCAAGAAGCGTACAGATGACATGGACAAATGGAAGACCCCACGAGAGTTAGCATTGATTGATCCCGATCATCCAAATGCCATTGTCATTTTTGATGTCGATCCACTGCTTCGCAGAACAATCCCGGACAATGTCCCCGAGAACGACCCGCGGCGCCTGACCAATGAACAGGACATTCACGTGCTCAAATACGCCGACGATCTCGTCGGCAGCCGCTGGTTCGAGGGAACATATGAGAGGATCGCCTTGCCCCCATGGCGAGATTGCCCATACGGCCCACCTCTTCCTGATGGATGCGACTTCGGACGCTGGGAGTTTAGCAAGTTTCTCATGACGATACTCCGTCACACAAGTGGAGTGACCAACGCATATCACGATCGGCGTCTGAACATCGATTTTTCCAAGACATCCACCTTTCGAGAGTGTGCGATGAATTGCTGGCAGCGCAGCCAGCAAGAATACTACCACAGAAAGAAGGAGAAATGGGAATACCGCAAGACACCCACGAACGAGGCCGTCCTAGCATGTTGGGAAACTGAGCGTGACAATGGTGACTACATCGACTTGGCCGATTACTATTGTTACATGGCCATTCGTATGCTGCAATACCATGCAGATGGAAAGTCGCGCACAGAAGTGTTTGCACCCGTCGGCTCTGACCTCAATCCACTTACGTTTCCGTTCGGCCGCATCTTGGCCATACGAAGCACAGGTGGTCAGTCCGAGGTGCACCCATATTCCACAGCCCACAACATGGGTTGGGAGGAGTTGTCTGTTCATGACACTCCATATCTCTGGCACGCAACCGAGCTGTCTTCAGTGCGGAGCATTACCGAAGGCTCACCAAGGTCTAACCCAGGCATAATCAAAGGATTCGACAAGCGAGACCACAAGCATGGGGCAACCCGTGCCGAGGTCTTTGCCTCCGCTCATCCTTTCTCTCACTCTTGCGGCCAGAACCCCTACACCACCATACCGCCGTACGTCTTTCATTCCGCTAAGAAACAGTGTGAATTTCAGATTGACCATCAGAAATGCGCTACGGCTGGCATCACTTGGTGGAAGGGTAAACAGGGCGCGATAATGGCAGAACGCGACATCCCAGTACATTGTCTTATTCGTTGCAGGAACATCGCTACCGGCAAAATAATCTGGGGGCGCCCAGACGACGACGACCTGGCCAGACCTCCTCGTGATTCTGAGCCACGGTCCAAGTATGAGCGCTCCACAGTTTCGTGGCCATGGCAAGTGTATGGCCATGGCAATAACCCGTGGGGCGATGCGCAGCGGGTAACCGCAGCTGCACCTCCAACCCCACCTAAGCCGTCTGCTCCGACTGTGCACAAGCCCAGACCCCTGGCTCGAGGCAACGATGTGCCAAAGAAGCCTCCACCGCCTCCGCCTCCGCCTCCGACTCCACTCCAGCCAGGCCAGCCTGGGCAACGTGCTCCCAAGACACCCCAGAGGAAGGCCCCGCCACCAGAAGGCGTCGGCAGACCTCCTCGAGGAGAGTTACCGCCGCCGATCGCTCCCAACGTGTATCCTGGCCAGGTCGTGGGCGACAACAGGGTTCCACCACCGCCACCACGGCATGCGCCGCCACCAGTGGGAGCTGTACCTGGACAAGGTATTGCCAAGGCTTCGCCGCCTGTTCCGCCGCTCCCCCCAGGACCTCCACCGGCACACACTCCCATCGCTTCGGCCCCCCCGCACGTGCAGCGAGAGATCGCAGCAGAGCAGCGGGAGACCGCCGCGCCGAGAGATACAGCCGTGGAAGAAGTCTCCGAGGGAGTTGAGGGCCTCACGTTAGACCCACACAACGCGGCCGCGGCTGCTGCCCAGAAGGCCACCGAGAGGGAAGCCGCCCTTGCTAAGTCCGAGGCCGCGCTGCTGAGGACACAGAGTAGACTCGCTGATGCAATCAATGCCTTAACAGCGGCTAGAAAGGCCGTCGGGTTGGTTAACATCCGCCCTGTGGCACCTCCGATCCGAGCACATCGTGACGAGTCTGGCGACACATCCGCCCCTGACGTCTCTATACCAACTGTTATGCAGCGGGAAACCGCAGCTTCGCAGTTGACAACAGACCAGGAGCGCGAGCGTAATCGTCAGATTCACGAGCGTTACGACCAATGGTTTCTACAGGCTGCCACTGAGGGCCGCGTTAGCCACATCACGTCAGCCTGGCCGCCCATGGGTCCCCACGAGACCTATCGGATTGGAGACTACGTTCAAACAAGACAAGCTTGCTACTTTTACTCTCACCCGCCATCGAAACACTCAGATGGTTCCTGGGTTGGCGAGCGCGTTAGCCCTCATGAAGGCGAACCAATGGGATCCCTATTCGGACCCATTCGCGAGGTAGGCCAGTTCATGGGATACGTGACCGTGAAAATCGGAGATCACTGGATGAACGTTTGGGATGGCACGAAGGGCATGCTGGCGGGCAACACGCTTGCCCGCGTTGTACCTTGCCCAGACTTTGACGCCAACTCACTCCCAGATGACCTTCGCTTCGGTCCCCCAGTTAACTTTCCACCCCGTCATGCGATCATGACGCCGACCAGTGACGTCAGGGCTGTGGGAGATCTTCGTGCTCCACTGCGCCAGAGGCATACAGACGCCTCTAGTGCAGCGGGACACCGCAGCGCCCCCAGTCAACAGCCCCCAGAGGTTGAGGAGGTCGCCGACATAGATGCTCGTGGAGCTGAGCCAGGTGAATTGCTTAAATTGATCAGGAGCCCTCAGTCTTTGGACGTGCCCACTGACGATGTACCTCCGGCCCAGTCATCGCCGACAGTCGTACCAGAACCGACACCAATGGCAGTTGACCCTCCGTCGCCGACTATCACTCCACACTCGCCCGACTATCCTCCGCCGGCAGCGGAGGATCACCCTCTGGCGGCAGACGATCACAGTTCACCTACAGAGATGCCGGTCCCCACACAGGACCAGAGCTCGCCGACCGAAATCCCTGTACCAACGGATTTTCCAGAGGAAAGTTATGATGACGGCGCAGCGGGAAATCGCAGCAATGGTGACACTGTGCCACATGTTCCAGAACATGCTGATGATGACTTCCTCAAGAAGGATGACTGGTCCCCAGAGCTGAATGATATCCGCAATGAATCGATACAATGGAGGATAACGCGGAGAAAACTCTCACATATGGACCAGATCAGTCCGACCTACCAGACTATTTCAAAGCAGTCAAGAAAGTCCACATTGTTCGTAGATCTGGGCATCACGGTGTCGTTAACACCAAAGTGAAGCAGACCATGGAGTACACCGTTGTCTTGAACATGGACGATATCGCAAATACAACAATGACCTTCGAGTTCAACTGCGATGCACCATGGTGTCACCGTTTCCCAGACCAATGTGGACACAGAGCTTTCACAAAGTACCTTTTCCAGTGCATTGGTACTTTCCGATACAGAACCCTGGCATACGGCAGACGTTCATGGTGCGCCATGGCATACTTGAACCTCTACCAGCAGGCTGGCGACAAATTTGCACTCATCGACATTGAGAACGCCGAGGTTGTGCAGAATCATCCTGGCCTTGCTGCACTCCGCATGGGCACAGAGACCTATGTGGAGGATGAGTTCGTGAATGAGGCGCCCCACGACGGAAAGATTTCCACATTGGCTACGAAGCAAGGGGAAACCCTAGCATCGCAAGACAATGTGGAGGCTACCAAAACCGTTATTGATTCTGTCGTTGGTTCACAGTTATCACAACGCACACTCGCCACTCAAGTTCTCCAAGACGCGTGCCAGGCTGTCGCTGCTTCCGCCTCCGCCGAGTCTCAGGGTGCAGCGGGAAACCGCAGCGACCTTGACAAGATCTTGGACGAAGACGACGAGAAGATCTTTGCCCCACTTGAACCTGATCACCTCGATCGGGCCCGCCAAATCGTCTCTGCGCCAGGTGGGAGCGTATCTCAGGAGAATTTCGCGACCCTGCTCGCAGGGGTCGTTCAGTTCGACGAGAGCACAGGACTGGCACCTCCAGAGCTACAGACTCGCATCCCGTCTTGCGCAATTTGCAACGCTCGGATGCCAGCTGATTTGGACACGCCTGGGGCCACTCTGAAATGTGCCTTTTGCATGAGGTACGAGAACTCCAAATGGCCGGACGAAGTTGCGGCCTGGCGAGAACAGTTCGTTGCGTTTGCCGCCACTCAGCCGGATGACGTCGCCAAGCGCATCACAGCTGCCCCCATTGATACGCGTGGCTCGAAGAAGCCACAGACAGACGCTAAAGACGAGCTTCAAAACATGGGGAAGAAAGCTGACAAGCGGCATCAGAAGTGGCTAGCTTGGAGTTCTCCATCTCGGGAGGAGTGCGACAAACTACGTGCAGACGCCGACGCGGACGGCATCCCGCCTGAGAATCCAAATTATCCTCCCATGTATCATCCATACATGTCTCTAGCACAGCGCTTTGCGGAGGATGATGAGTTTCGTGCGCAGATGACAACAGTTCGGACTCAGGCTGGTAGGGTTGCATGGACGTTAGAGGTTGCCACTGAGGCCGATCGCCTCTGGCAGGCCTCCAAAAAGAGGAAAGAGGTCGGAGCGCCGAACCTTGGAGCCGAAACACTCCGTGAGCGTTTTCAGCGCAACCACCTTACCGTTCACGTCCCGGGCGAATCTCTCCGCGGTGCCATCACCGCCGCAGAAATTCGTGCACACCCACAGTCTTTGACTGGGTCCCGGGACGAGATCCGATCCGGTGTTAAGCGAGAGCGCGAAGAATACTACTCTCAGCTTCAGGAGACCGCCAGTGCAGCGGGAGACCGCAGCGGCAACGCTCCAGGAAGCAGTAGTGGGGGTGACTTTAGGGGGAGCGGGACCGATCCAACCCCCCAGCCACCACCACACACATCCGAGTATCGTACTTCTTCCGGCGCGTTCGACAGCCATGGCCATACCGCCTCCGCTGCCAGATATGCGCCTGCGCGTCCCGATGATGGACCACCTCTGGCAAAGCGCCCCGCCATTTCGAATGTGACCCACGGGTACAGTGCTGAATACGGTGCCCACTATTATGACAGGCAAATTGCACCGTATGACCGCCAGTGGTACGACCATTGGGGCGAGTTCATCTGGACCAAAGCGTGGGATCCGTTCGCCAATAATGGATGGGGCGCGACTGCATGGAATAAGAAGTACACATCGGGGAAATATACGGGCAGATCATGGCGCTGGGACCCTCCACGCTGACGCACCAGGAAACTGGTTGCCATGCCGCCCATAAGATTTTGACTGGCTTCCAACTTTGTCGTATTGTTGATGTGCCTATTGATGCATTATATCATTTTCTTCGATGACATGTAGTATTCGAGGACGCTCGCACTTACCTTTTGATCAGTATATCACTTCAAGGATTCTTCCTCTTCATGGACTCAACAACTGTGAGAAAGTTTATGGTGACAGCTATCCTCATGATGGGATAATACTACTCATATAGATTCAAAAAAAAAAAATCGCATAATGCACAATTGCATAAATATCCTTTAGATTTGAACTGTGGCAAGACGTACATATTGCATCTGGTACAGATTGGATATGGAACTTGCATAAAAAGATTTTCACCACCCTCGTACCGTGACTGATTTGATTACTTTGATTTGGTATTGGATTGAAGACTTCATATTCATGATTATCATGTGTTGCTTCGGGCACCGACCGTTTGGGTCGGTGTCATAAGAGTTCAGTCTCTCCATTCCACTTCTCTCCAGCCCACAGCACTGTCCTGGGTTCTATCTCGGCGGCTGGCGCTGTAAAACTTTTTGCAGGTTAGCGCCGCCGTTGGGTACGAACCTTACGACAGAGCTTTGGCTGTCCCTTCCTTTCCTTCCTGGGCCGAAGCAGTGGATTGCAGACAGGAGTTCAGTAGAGATTCACTCTCCTATCCCGATCCCCGCTTCGGTGCCTTTCGCTTTTGTGCGTTGGCATCGGGCGGGATCGGGACGGGGGGTGTGTGTGAATCCCCCTACTTTCCTCCTATCTTGCTCATATCCATCGCCCCTCTTGGCTCGGATGACAGGTACTCGATACTTGGAGGTACGTTCGGTAAAACCATCGTCCCTCATCGTCTACCGACGGACACTCGGGGGTGGGGTCGGTCCATTGGTCCTCCTCACCCTCACACAGAATCGGTATTGGAGGCGGTATCGGAATCGGAAATGGAGGAGGACCGAACGGGAATCGGACTCGGGGCCGGACGAAAACTCGGAGCCGGAGTCGGAGCCGGACGAGGCCGGAACGGGACTCGGAATTGTCCGGAGCTGGAGTCGGAGCCGGAAGAGGCCGGAACGGGAATCGGAATCGGAGTCGGAAGCGGAGGAAGACCGAATCGGAATTGAAGCCGGACGAAAATCCAGAGCCGGAGTCGGAGCCGGAGGAGGCGAACTCCTTCTGTGCCTCTCCCGAATCCAACCCTCCCAATCTCACTCACGCCCGCTCCACTCCCCCGTCGTCCTCCCGCCTCCTCCAACCTCCTCCGCGCTCCTCCCGAAGCAAAGCACGGTCATGCAACAACGACTGTTACAGAAAAAAACGGCGGGGGTCCGGGTGCAAAAATCCAGGGCCCACGGTCCAAAATCGGGGGTGGGGCATTTTTCTGAAACTGCACGCACTTTTTCTGAAACAGCGCGCCCTTTTTCTGAAACTGCTCCGCCTTTTTCTGAAACGGCACGCCCTTTTTCTGAAACCGGTCTTTTTCTGAAACTGCTGTGCACTTTTTCTGAAACGGTTGCTGCCGACCAAAAGGCTATCATAATTCAACATATCGCTTCTTGGCCCACGTTATGCTTGGGCTCGGAAATATGCAAATTCATCACAAAACGCTTTCTTGGTATTGAACGGTTTCGGAAACTATGAATACAGAATATGTAATTGGGGGCTCCGCGAATTGTTTTCCGGAATGTTCCGTGGTATTGGCTGGACTTCTGGGTTTCTTTCTAAAATGAATATTTTTCGTTTCGCGCGCGTTTTACCGAAGGAACCTGACGCAATAGAAAAAACAAATGAATGGAATTGTTCAGCTCGGATTGAATATCATCCCGTAAATTCGCCCAAATGGAAACTCATAATGCTTCCACAATGGCCATGTCTGACCGCCTCTGCAGGCGGAGACTGACAAAACGATAGAATTTCAATGCAACATTGTTTTCTTTGGGGGGGGGCATTGCCAAGTCCTGTCTTCTTCCTCCACATGTTTTTCCTCTTTCTAATATTCTTTCTGACCTTCTCCTGCACGGGAAGGACAACAGATAATTCCAGGGAGACAACAAAACGAGAAACAACAAACATCCCAAACAATACATTATCTCGCAGTCCGGAGGGTACTGAAAGAAATGCTTGTAGTTATCGCAACCGAAACTGAACGGTAGTCTTTGAACTAATCGTAATGCTGAGATCAACGCTCGTATGTATTGAAACCCATATTCATAATTTTTGAAACCAATGTCAATAGTCATTGAAACCAGTGTTTGCAACTCTTGAAACTCACAGCTATTGGAAATCATATATACAACAAATTCAAACCAACACCAATTAATATCACTCTAAGTTATTGGTAGTTTTGCATGCAACAGCGGAGAAGACAATCATGGCACGGAACTGAAACTTTTCGCTTCTCCAGACGACGGAGAAATTGCAATCTCGAATGAAAATATCGACGGGCTGGGATTCCAAGACGCGCTTGTCAACCACACCATTTTCTAATTCATGACCTTGGGTAACGTCGCCGTGACCAACAATGGTTGGAATACTTGCTCTATCCTCCGATAACTACTTGTATGTACAATATTCGCTCCATCCACCAAAGACCGAGACCCACACATTCTTATGTGATGTGTATGTTACGCGTGGTCGTCTCGACCCTCGTGTGACATTGGCCACATGGACATTCGTGTTGGACAAATTACAATCCAATTACCGCCCAATGCATCACACACAATTTGTTGGGCTTCACATTGCACGGCGTTTCTCGGTAGCAAATCATGGGTGCTCTGTGTGCCTTCGAAATTGCCCACATCCTAAATGGTGTTCTTGTTTCGCCAGGACACCCCGCGCAGCCCTCACACCCCTTTTTGTTTTCTTTGGGTACCCCGCGCAAAACACACCCACATCTTTATCGTCATGCTATCCATCATCATCATCATCATCATCATCATGGCCCACTCCTCGTCAGTCACACACTCACGCATTCACACTCACCATCATCATCCGCATCTTCATCATCAGTCAACCCCCCAATTAATCACTCACCCACTCATCATCATCACCATCATCATCGACATCACTCCTACGTTCACTCGCACTCATACGCGCACGCGCTCACACATTCAAGCGGGAACCTCATTCGTGACTGAATTTCGAGGAAGTCTCAGGCGGGAGTCCCTTAGGCTTCTTACGGGGAGCCCAAAAACTGTCGACAATTACATAATGTAGATAACCCGCTCGGATTACCAACGCAGGGCGCGGGCTCCATAGGGAGGGGGTGGGTCCCGCCTGAGATTTCCAAGTAATTCAATCACAGACGAGGTTCCCGCCTGAGGTTTCATTTTTAAATTCAAGCGCGAGGATCCAAACAATGATGCGTGTTACAGGGTTTGGATGGCCAGTTCGGATTACCAACGTGACGCGCGGGCTCCATCGGGAGGGAAGGCCTGTCTGAGATTTCCTTGCAATTCACTCAAAAACGAGGTTCCCGCGGGAAACTTCTTCACAATTCAAGCGCGACGGGGCCAAAAGTGACGACTGTTACAAGGTTTGGACGACCCATTCGGAATACCAACATGGACTGCAAGGGGGCCCGCAGGTCCATGTTAGTATTCGAACGAGTCCTCGGGATGTCGTAGCTGTCGTCGCCACAGGGCTCCTCCGGAACGACTGGTGATGCGAGCCCTCGCGGGCTAATCCGAACGGGATTCCTTTTTGTGCTTATGAGAAAGCCATTCGCTCAGTTGAGCGCCCCCCCGACGCAGCCATGGCGTCACCATGGGCTGCGCCAAAAATGGGGGCGCTAGCCGCACGGGCATGTCGGACGAACAGTAATGGCTGCACCTCTGCGTCATGTTCTCCCGCGCCACCTGTCTTGCGACTGCCCACGCGAGAACTCATGGAGCGCGGGCCGCCGGCGTCCTTGCGGAAAACGTTCCGGAGGTTCGACGAGATAGTAGAGAGCTCCAATACCGAGGCGGAGCAACTCGCAACACAGCTGGGCTTCGCGGTGCTTCCCGCCCTAGCGTGGCCGCGCCCGCCTCGAGGCCCGCGGGGTTGTCCCAAATGCCTGGCTCGCGGGGTTGTCCTGAAGGCCCGCCCCGGCGCCCCAGCTGCCCGCGGGGTTGTCCCCAAGGCATGGTCCGCGGGATTGCCCCCAAGGCTTCGCGATCTAGCCGTCGGCGAACGCGCGCGTGCTGGCCGAGTTGGTGACGGCGCCGCGGAACATCGACTCCCCTTGCCCCGACCAAGTGGAAAGGGAGGTGCACATGGAGGAGGCAAGAGGAGGATGAGGAGAAAAGGGGTATGGCGGATGATGATGATGATGAGGAGGAGGAGGAGGGGGTGGAGAAGGACGAGGAAGACGAAACGGAGGAGGAACAGGAGGATACATATAAGGAGGAAGAGGAGAAGAGGGCAGCGCAGAGGGCGAGAGGAGGGTGTCTGCCAGGGCGAGGAGGAAAGGGCGAAGGG